TCAATTAGATGCATGTTGGACTTTCCTGCTCATCTTCTGTGTCTCTTTCAAGTCATGAATTCTACTGGTTTGTCTCCCTGGCTCTACAGTAAGAAATTTCTTTGCCTGTGTATTCCACGCCACTAATTCTCTCTTCAGCTATATCTAATATGCTGTTAAATCCAACAAGCAAATTTCTTCTTCTTTTTTTAATTTCTAAAAGTTCTGTTTGGTTTTCTTAAAATTTGCCTGTTCAACTTTGATAGTGTCTTACTCTTTTGTTGTATATTCTAGTCCATTTTTTATATCTTTAAATCTATATAACTAAATAGTTAGATATTTCCTTTTTTTAAGATTTTATTTATTTCTTTGACAGAGAGAGAGAGCACAAGCAGAGGGCAGAGGGAGAGGGAGAAGGAGAAGGAAACTCCCTGCTGAGCAGGGAGCCTGATGTGGGACTCAGTCCCAGGACCCTGGGATCATGACCTGAGCTGAAGGCAGATGCTTAATTGACTGAGCCACCCAGGCATCCCTAGTAAGATATTTCTTTATTTGATAATTCCAACATATATAATCTCTGAAGTCTGATCATAAAAAAGGTGGTTTTGGCTAACTCTTACACATGGTAGCTCATTTTCTCATGTACTTGGTGTATTTCAATTTTTAGCTCATGTCCTTTGGAAGTTCATTTGTGGAAACTTCTGAGGTCTGGGTTTAAATTATCTTCCTCCAGAGGCCATTTGTATTACTTCTGCCAAATGTCTGTGCATTTATCCAACTGGGCCACTTTAAATAAATTCAACTAAAATTTTAAATTATTTTACTTTGTCCATGGAGGTAGTATGAATTCAGGCCCTAAACCAAAGTAAGAAGAGTTTCTTCCCTCCTTTGTTTTCTCTTTTTCTTCCTTCCTGCTTTTATTCCATTTCTTTCTTTACTTCCCCACGATATAGCATTTTTCTTTACTAAATTTCTCTGCAGGGCATTCTTTTTTCCTAGTGCTACTAAGGGTGCCTTTTGGGGTATCAGCATTTTCCCAAAGGGCCTCTCATCGAACCTATTACTCTGCCTGCTCGCCAGGCCTTGCTCCCTATTGACCATATAAGGAGCTTATTCTTCCCCAATCTGAGGCCCCAGGGATGTGCAGAATAAACAATAGGCTTCACCTGCTTATGTCTCAGTATTCATGCTTTATTGTCATTTCTAGACTCTAAGGAATTGCCTTATTTTGCTGCCAGCTTAGCCACGCATTAACTGGAGCTTTCTTTTTAATTCTTTTTCCCAGAAATTTTAGGTGTGCTAAAGTGGAAAAAAATTTCTCTAAACATCCAGCCCTCCACATAGCTGGAAAGAGAGTCCTCTATGCTTTTAAAAAGACCTTTACCTGCTCTAGATATTAGATATCTAGATACTAGGGTATCTGTCAAAGAAGGCATTAAAATATTTGCTTCCTTTTCTGGGTGACAAATCAAAATGTGAGATATAAAATCAGTGCATGTTAAAGGCAAGGATAAATTTTCCAAATCTGAGCTTGCTTTTTTCCTTTCTGGGCAAAATTTCTTTGCTTCAGTGAAAAGTAAGATATCATTGGGCTTTGTAATATCCTCCAGTGGATGTGATTAACCCAGTTCTTTTTGAAGAATATTTCTAGGAATTTGTGTTACTTATGTTCTCTTCCCTCTGCTTCTCTTCCAGGAAATTTAGAATCACATAGGAGTCATACTGAAATGCAATTATTGAAGGCAGCCAATAACATCATTATTTGGCATTTTGAGCTGAAATAGGCAGCCTAGATTTTACTTCTCCCTTTGCTCATCACATTGCTTCAAGTGGAGTTTCTGGCCAAAGGTGAAGACAGCAACTCTCCCCTCTGTATTTCTGATGCATCCACAAATAGTGTTGAAAACAACAACCAGAAACAGTCAGACCTGCCCAACATCTTTCATGAGAGAGAAAACAGAGACTGCACGCTTGGTAAGAAAGAAAGGAGTATGAATTGTAACCTCTTCCAAGGTGCCTTTGGAAATCTTCCTCAAGATTTTGACATGACATTTGGCTGGCAGAAACACCTGTATGCACTGTGTAATTTTTAGAACATAAATGAAATGTGTCATGCAGAACAGCTTGTGACTGGAAGCCAAGTGCTGCTTATGAAAAGCCAGCACCCTCCATGCCATGACTGTGGGGAGACCAGTGGGAGGCTGGACACACAAGCAGGGTGTTTTCTCTGCGTTGTTTCCTAAATTGCACAGACAAGGGATTAAATCCATTCAGAAGAACATGTTTTGAAGCAAACTGCTGCATAATTAATTCCTCCAGCTTCCAAGGGTGCATTGTAAAGAAAGCTATTGCTGATCAGAGGAATAGTTAATAGATCCCCAAAGCTTTACAGAGATAAGTTTATTGCCTGCTAAGTTCTTTCAACAGATTTCTTTGAATTAGGCTCTAAAAATGCCTCTTACCTAAAAGAAATGGCAAATATTCAACTTTGTGTCTTTGAGTGTATTACATCTTGCCTCAGTTTCCTTATCCACACAGTATGTGTTTGTGTGTGTATGTATGGGTGTTGTGTGTATTGGAGGGGAGGGAGTTGGACTAGAAGACTTCTCATCCTGCTTCTTGAACTTTAATAAGATTAATATTCAAATTATGATTCTGCAGTTCTGGAAAGGCCTGAGGTTCTGCATTTCTATCAGCCTCTCTAGTGATGTCCAGGCTGCTGGTCCATGGGGCACACTTGAGAGTGGGGATGCTCTAGGTTGCGCCTTTGACACTTGATGACCTCATGATGAGTTTATTACAAGCCAACATGCTTCACTTGATGATTCTCAAATATAACTCCTTCACATAAAAACTTACCGAAGACCACTTTCTGAGTAAAGAAATCTCCAGGGCAAACAGAGACCTTAACTACTTAGGAAGAGGTGAGCAAGAGCACCAATACGCTGGTTGGGATGCCTGAGGCAGAGAGGTAAGTGGTGGGCACACGCTGGGAATGATTTTGAAGAGCAGAAAGTAAGATTTACTGACAGATTGGCTACAAGATGTGAGAAGAAGTGGGGAGTCAAGTCTGATGCCAAAAGTTCTGACCTGGAGTAAGACTGACTAACAGAACAGAGTTCCTATTTACTGAGCAGGGACAAACGGGGAAGAGCCAGTTGGGGTGGGTGGGTGGGTGAGTGAATCAAGAGTCCAGTTTGGGTGTGTTAACTTCACGACGCCTGCTCCGCATTCAGATGGTCGTGTCCAGTGGGCGGTAGGCATCTGGAGGCAGCAGAGGGGACTGAAGTTTCAGATTCATCAATGTATGGATAGTATTTACATTCATTATTTCATTTAATGATCACAGGACCTTATGGATTCGGTATTATCACTATCTTCATTTCAGAGATGAGGAGATTGGGGCAGAGAGACCCGGTCATTGCTTTGAGGCCATGTGACCACTGAGTGAAGTCCGGTGGTCAGCCTCCAGAGCAAGGAGGGGCTGAGGACCAAATGTACCCATGCAGTTAGTGACGAGCAGACTCAGCAATTTGGTGAGACATGTCAGGGAAAGATGCAGGCAGAAGTCAGACACAGAGGACAGAGCAGCTGACCAGACTTGAAGTGTTAACATGAAGGTCTGGCTTAATACCCGTGTCTGGTGAGTTTGTGCTCAGAAGCTGAAGAATTCTGGCCAAATTCAGTTGCTGTATCTGTGGTGTTAGACAGACTTGGGCTGGGTGGCCCTGCAGCATTACTGCCCTGCTGTGAGGTTCCCCTGGTGACCAGCACTCTAATTCGTCTCTCTAATGACACTGCTAAGTGCTCAGTGAATGTTTGCATTGATCTGAAAGTGCAGTTTTCTCTATATGATGCCAAAGAATCCTTAGCCTAGCAGTGCACTCTAGCAGATGTGAGTGGGCTTGGCAAGGGGGCCCTGGTGAACACTGATGCTTATTTAGGAAGGAGAATCACAGAGGATTCTCATGTGGGAATCACAGAGACACCGTCCTAACTAGAGAAGAGACATAAATGAACTCCTAGAGCTAAGAAATGGAAGAGATACCTCATAAGACAGTTGCTGAGAAAGCAGCTCTGGGGTACTGAAAGCAGACCTTCTGCTTCCACTCTCGAAAGGGCAGAGGCGACTAGCCAAGTGAAAAATCTACCCAAGGCAGCACATCCCCATGCTTCCCACACAGGGATAACTTCTGCCAGGAGAACACATTCAGTCCAGGTTAACAACGCAAATCAGAACCCGCAACTTGGCTAGGTTATGAGAGACCTGAGGATGGCCTGGTGACTCATGTACTTTTGCCGGTCATAGTAAATACTTCATAAATACCTTTTGCATAAATGAGTGGAGATTAAGTAGTTGCTGACATCAGAGAGGCTCGGCAAGATTCCTCCATAAGGGGCTGGTTGTTTCTTTAAACTCTGGTTTAAGAGGTTTTTCTTTCTTAACGTTAGCAAGCAACAGTATGTAGTTAGCATTCAATAAAAATTCTAGAAATGATTGTTAGCAAGGGCCTAAGCTATGAGAAAATGAAATAACATTAATACAGAATATTTGGCTAGATCATACAGATCAGTTTTTGAGTCTTAGTTATCTGTGCTGGGGAAGAGCCACGTGTGAGGCCCATACTCACCTGGCAACCACACCACCCACCTGGGCTGACGTACTTCAGCTGTAGCAGGGAGTGGCTTCTTTCCAGAATGGTTTGCTAATCTAATGTAGCTCAGTGGGGGAAATAATGTATTAACAAAAAGGTCCAGAAGTGACTCCTAGACCCCAATGTAGCTAAGTCCATAAGGGATGAGAACTCAGGGAAAGTTGCAGTCAAATCACAGAGATCCACCAGGAATTATGCCCAGTTTCCCTCCAGAATACTGAACACCTGCTCAGACTGAATTCCAGAGCTGGCAGAGAAAGAAGAGAACTGGAAGTCAAGTTTCCCTGGCCGTGGCCCAGGATGAGCAGTGCCCTTCACATCCCTGCTGGGGGGATGCCTTCCCCCGACCCCCGCTCACTCACTCACCACTGTTGCTGCGTTTCCGTGGGTCATACCCACCTCCTGGCCCGTCAGGTTCTTCAGGAACCTCCACGAGATCTGAAGTCTTAGAGAAAAGAGGGAACAACACGGAATGAGCAAAATCCTTTCAGTGGGCCAACTGAGCAGAGAAATTCGATGTCCATAGAGGAATCAAGGTAGAATTTGCCTGACACTGTCTGAGGAATCCAATCACTGATCTCTGGTTTGTCTGGCTAACTTCAGAGAGGCTGTGTGTTCCCTCGTGGGTGCTGTAGCTCCCTTCCGGTGTCTCTATAGGATCGGGGGGCAGGGGGCACATGATAGGCACTCAGTGAGTGTCGAATGAATGCCTAGATGCACCAGTCATAGTCAGGCTTCTTCCCAGGAAGACACAATAGAGAGAAATCAGAATTCCTGCCCATACCCTGTCATGTCAAATTCTAACACTAGAGCTCTTTTATAGGTGAATTTTAAATATAGACAGTCCCCACGATGGTTCGGCTTATGATTTTTTGACTTTACAGTACGCATTAAGTTTCTACTGAATTCAGTAGAATTCCCCAGAATACTGAACGCATTCAGTAGAAACTGTACACTGAGTTTTGAATTTGGATCTTTTCCTGGGCTGGAGTTATGCAGGACGATCCTCTCTGGGGATGCCGAGCAGCATCCAGGGCTCCAGTTCAGCCACCCGATCATGAGGGTGGACAAACAGTACACTGACAACCCTTCTGCGCCCACACAGCCATTGTTTGTCACTTTCAGCACAGTTTCAATCAATTACATGAGAGAATCAACACTTTATTATCAAATAGGCTTTTTGCTAGATGACTGTGCCCAAGTGTAGGTGAATACAGTTGTTCTGAGCATGTATAAGTTAGGCCAGGCTAAGCTATGATGTTCGGGAGGTTAGCTGTAGTGAATACGTTTTGGACATAGGATATTTTCAACTTATGATGAGTTTATCAGGATGTAACCCCATTATAAGTTGAGGAAGATTTGTATTAATTATAGAGAACAATTGAGGGATGCATTACCTAGGTATGAGTTAAATGCTGTTTCCCTTGCTGCAAAATTATTTATGTAATACTTACTCTGCTTTTTCTTTTCTTTTAATATGAGAAGCCATAGCCATTCTTCCATTTTGTTTACAGAAATAACAACAACATCACTCGAAATGGCTAATGGTTACTGATCATTTATCATGTGCTGTTTTATGTACAATTGATGTACCCATTTATTCTTCACAGTAATCCTGTGACAGACCTACTTTTCAGATAGGAATGTGGAGCTCAGGGAGGAATCAGTAACCCTTCTCAAGGTCCACAGCTACTAAGTGCCAGAGCTGGGGTATGAACCCCTAGGGTTGCCTCCAGAGCTCGTGCACCTGAGCTTCATCCGGGGTGTGCTGGAGAGGTTCAAATGGGCTGGTGAGAGCCTTCAGGGCCATCACATTAGGAGGGTGAAACAGGCCTGGGTGGGAGTATTTATGCCATGGAAATTGGCAAATGCTGCAGATCAGGGTCTGGCCCCGGATGGTGGTTAAACATTTATCAGCACACCACTGATTGCCTCTATCAAAGGACCAGATGCCCCGGCTTTCATCTGTGTGGCTCCCGCCTCTTTGGAAGAGGAATTTATGGGGCCTCAGAAGAGGGTCGCATTTTGAAAACAATTTGTTTACATCTTATTTCAGGGAAGCAAGTTTGCCTTCCCAGCCCTCTCAGTCAGCCCTAGAGCACTTTAGCACCACCCTCTAGAGGCTGATTTTTGTTATAATCTGGCTTTAAGCTTTTCCCCAGCCATTCTTACATTTATGACACATCAGAAAGAAGAAAAAAAAATGTCACAGGATCTCTAAGTCACTTATACCCTGCTCCTTTGAAGCTCACTATTTCTGAATAAAAGTTGCTATTATTAGGACCCTGGGATCATGACTTGACCCGAAGGCAGACACTTAACCAACTGAGCCACCCAGGTGCCCCCTGTGGGAGAGTTTTTAACTACAAATTAAATTCTTTAACAAATATAGGGCTATCCAAGTTATCTGTTTCTTTTTGAGTGAGTTTTGATAGTCTGTGATTTTTGGGTAATTTGTCTGTTTTATCTAAGATGTAGAATTTATGTTTTTTGGGGAAAAGATGGCAGAGGAGTAGGGAACCCTATTCCAACCAGTCCCCGGAATTGAGCTGTATATCTACCAGACCACTCTGAACACCTACAAAATCAGCCTGAGATGTAAGAAGACAGATCTGGATCTCTACAAACATAATCTCACAGGCGGTTGGTTTTGAGGTATGAAGCAGGGAGCCGTCATTCCTTGGGCAGATATTGGAGGATAAACGGCAGTGGGAGGGAGCCTGGCCATGGGGATCTGACACTGCCGGTGAGCGATAACCTCCCACGCTGGGGACCAGGCACAGACTCGCAGACCGGTAGCGGCAGGGAAAGGACTTTAGGGCAGCCCCCCAAATGGAAACCCAGAGCGGCGGGGCTGCATGTGGGAACTGGGGGTGGCTGGCGGTTTTAGAAGCACAAAGGGCAGAGACGTGCTCCGACCTGGAGGCGAGGACTGGGAGCGCAGCTGAAGGGCGCACAACTCAGGATGCCGCAGTTTATAGCAGCACAGACAGAAATGGAGATAGTGTGGCCTGGAGAGCTCACTGAAGAACAGACTGCAATCTCTCTGCTCTGAGGCAGAGGGTTGGAAAATGGTCTCTTCTGCTCTGACTCTCAGAAGAGATGCGGAAAGCTGCCAGAGAACAAAAGCCCCCCAAAACTGGTTTCCACTGAGCCCATCCCCCACTACAGGGGGCAGGGCAACTCTGCCCAAACAGGGTTGCCTGAGTAACAGCCCGGCAGGCCCCTACCCCAGAAGACAGCCTGGGAAAACAAGAGGCCAGCAACCCTAATGTGCCTAGAAAACAGGTGCATCTTGCTTGGGTTGTGGTCAATAATTTGGACTCTATACATTCCCTCAACCACCCCTCAACAGAATGACTAGGAGTAGGAACCCCCAAAATAGAAAAGACTCAGAGATCATGGCTTATGCTGCAGATTTACAAATGGATTCAGATATAACCAAGATGTCGGAGATGGAATTCAGGCTAGCAATTGTGAAGACAATAGCTAGAATGGAGAAATCAATTAATGGCAACATAGAATCTCTAAGGGCAGAAATGAAAGCTGAATTGGCAGAACTTAAAAATGCTATCAGTGAGATCCAATCTAATCTAGATAATCTAACACAGCTAGGGTAAGCGAGGCAGAAGAACAAATTAGTGACCTAGAAGACAAATTAATAGATAAAAAAGGAAAAGAGGAGGCCAGGGAAAAACAACTCAGAATCCATGAAAATAGAATCAGAGAAATAACTGACACCATGAAACGTTCCAATGTGAGAATTATTGGAATTCCTGAGTGGGTGGAGAGAGAGAGAGGACTAGAAGATGTATTTGAGCAAATCGTAGCTGAGAACTTCCCTAATCTGGGGAATGAAACAAACATTCGTGTCCTAGAGGCAGAGAGGACTCCTCCCAAGATCAAGGAAAACAGGCCAACACCCCGGCATGTAATAGTAAAACTCGCAGTAAAACTCTTAGAACCAAGGAAACCATCTTAAGGGCAGGTGGGGGAAGAGATTCCTTACATACAGAAGGAGGAACATCAGAATAACGTTAGACCTATCCACAGAGACCTGGCAAGCCAGAAAGGCCCGGCAAGACATATTCAGGGTACTAAATGAGAAGAACATACAGCCAAGAATAATTTATCCAGCAAGGCTGTCATTTAGAATGGATAGAGAGATGCAGAGCTTCCAAGACTGGCAGAAAATGAAAGAATATGTGACCACTAAGAAGGCCCTGCAAGAAATATTAAGGGGGGTTCTATAAAAGGAGAAAGACCCCAAGAGTGATATACAACAGAAATTTACAGGGACAATCTATATAAACAAGGTCTTCACAGGCAACATGATGAGAATAAATTAATATCTTTCAATAATCACTCTCAACGTGAATAGCCTAAATGCTCCCATAAAAAGGCACAGGGCTGCAGATAGGATAAAAAGACAGGACCCATCCATATGCTGTCTACAAGAGACTCATTTGGAACCTAAAGATACATCCAGACTGAAAGTGAAGTGATGGAGATCCATCTTCCATGCCAACTGACCTCAAAAGAAAGCTGGGGTAGCAATTCTTATATCAGACAAATTAGATTTTAAACTAAACATTGTAGTTAGAGACACAGAAGGACACTATATCATTCTTAAAAGGTCTATCCAACAAGAAGATCTAACAATTGTAAATATCTACACCCCTAACATGGGAGCAGCCATCTACATAAGCCAACTGTTAACCAAAATAAAGAATCGTATTGATAACAATACGTTAATTGTAGGAGACCTCAATACTCCACTCTCAGCAATAGACAGATCATCTAAGCAGAAAATCAACAAAGAAACAAGAGCTTTGAATGACACACTGGACCAGATGGACCTCATAGATATATACAGAACATTCCATCCTAAAACAACAGAATACTCATTCTTCTCGAGCACACATGGAACTTTCTCCAGAATAGACCACATACTGGGTCACAAATCAGGTCTCAACTGATACCAAAAGACTGAGATTATTCCCTGCATATTCTCAGACCATAATGCTTTAAAACTGGAACTCAATCACAAGAAAAAATTTGGAAGAAATTCAAACACTTGGAAGCTAAAGACCACTCTGCTCAAGAATGTTTGGGTCAACCAGGAAATCAGAGAAGAACTTAAACAATTCATGGAAACCAATGAGAACAAAAACACATTGGTCCAAAATCTACGGGATACTGCAAAGGCGGTCCTAAGGGGGAAATACATAGCCATCCAAGCCTCACTCAAAAAAATAGAAAAATCCCGAATTCACCAACTAAGTCTACACCTTAAAGAACTAGAGAAAAAGCAACAAACGATGCCTAAGCCAAGCATTAGAAGAGAAATAATTAAGATTAGAGCAGAGATAAATGAATTAGAAACCAGAAACACAGTAGATCAGATCAATGAAACTAGAAGCTAGTTCTTTGAAAGAATTAATA